AAATTACCCCAAAGAGGCACAAAACAACTACAGACATACAGTATAATGACCAAAAAAGGACACAAATTAACTGAAAAAAGGGGCAAAACAACCACAAAGTGACACAAAATGATTATAAAGAGACACCAAATTACAAAGAAAACTCCCAAAATTACTTTAAAATGATCAAAAGACACAAAAAATTATGAAAAAGACACATAATTGCCACAGAAAGACACAAAATAACTACAAAAACGGCCAAAACAACCACAAAGATACACAAAATTACCTGAAAGAGACACAAAATGACTACACAGACAAACATATGACCAAAAAAAAAAAAGATATTAAATGACCTTTAAGACACACAAAATGACAGAGACAAAAAAACAACTCCAAAGACACAGATCACCTCAAAGAGACACCTAATGACTACAAAGACACAAAAAACAACAAAAAAAAGACATAAAATTACCCAAAAAGGAGCAAAATAACCAGAAAGAGACACAAAATTACCACGAAAAAACACAAAATTACTTCAAAGACACACAGAATGATGAAAAAAGACATAAAACGAGCACAAAAAGAAACAAAATTTTTTTCAAAAAGCAGCAAAACAACCAAAGAGAGACACAAAATTACCAAAAGAAGATAGAAAATATCCTCGCAGACACACAAAATGCCCAAAAAACACATAAAATGACCTCAAAGGGACACAAAACGACGACAATGACACACGACTAAAAGGGAGCCCATTGTCTCATAATTCACCCATGGGTGGCGCCAGTTTAAAAACCCTCTTAAAACATCATAAACAAGCCTCTTAATGATCCGTCATTATACCAATAATGATTCAGTGTGAGAGTCTACTGCACTTACTGGTCCTCCTCATGTCCCTGTATATTAAAACCATATCCGCGTGTCAATACTGGACGTTTATTAGAAATCGGATGTGGGCCAGTCAGTGTCATCCATCTCTGACGTGATGAATATGATGCAGGTTTAATTGCGTCAACAGCATTGTGCTGTTGATCAATGTTGTCCGGGCTTTCGATGGACGGTTTTAATTTTCCCTGCTCTCACAAGCTTTTCTGCACTGCCGAGAACAAAAATGAGTTTAGTGGAGACTAAAATCTCCAGTGCTTCCAGTCAAACATTTAATCTCACAGCCAGGACCTGCAATTTGTTCCTCTGTAGTTTCATTTTTTAAAATCATATTCCTCGATTTCAGCCACAACCTCAGGTCTTGCCTTTCACACCACGAACAGAGTGTTGGGGACTGGCTGAGAGGAAGACATGAAGATATTACACAGGGGTGGAAAACTGTTTTAAATTTAATTAATTAAACTGAATTTGTTGAAGGTTGACGAACCCTTGACTTTACTCCATCCTCCCCCTTCACTCCTGAAACCAAACTAATGCCCTTGCAAGCAGCTACAATCCAAATGTGTTTGTATCTGACTTCAAACAGCTCTGAACACAAGAAGCAGATAGAGATGCCGCAGGAGAGAGCAGCGAGCGAGGAGGAGGGATGACCAGACAGAACAGAGGGAGGGTGTTATGGTGTAGAAGAAGGCAATTTCATGTTCCTATAATCCTGAAACTGCTGCAGTATGTGTCCTCCCCAGGGCTGTTTCACACCTCCGACAAGGGATAAGTGACTAACTCTCACGGCACAGGAGAACGGACCAAATTTAACATACTTATTCCACGAGCAATTAACACGGTGACTCTGTGCAAAACAACAAGCTTGACTCCGAATCGGGAACCCGAGCACAAATCCCGCGTACGGCTCTCGTGGGATTCGCAGTATCCACCCCGTCCTGCCCAGGAGGGCTATCCGCTGATCCAACCGACAGAAGCCAGCGAGTGCAGGCGCTCAACTGATGAGATTCCAGTTAGCCGGCGCAGCCAAGAGGAGAGGCGGGGAAGCAGCCAATAGCCCCGGCAGAAGGGATCTGGGGGCCTCTAAATATCCACCCAAGGCTAAGAGAGTGGGAGCGTGAGCAAACTCGGGCCCACTTCCTCTATCGCTCTCCTGGGCCGCAGGAGGGAACCATACGGGAGAACAGAACAGACGGCGTGAAAGAAAGGCATCAACACACACCTTTGTAGTCAGGGTAACGCGCCAGTATCAAGATACGCAGGAACTAGATGCAAGCGAGCAAACACCTGCTTCATAAGTGCTTCTGATCTTTAGTAGTGCTGTAGAGCTGTGATTGAATCTGTAAATCTATAACACACTATGATTACATCATCACAATATGATTCCTCTGAAAATCAATAAATGCATTCAGTGCTTTTTTTGCTGCTATGGCTAACGTACCTTCTGGATTCTTCCTTTGGCTGAACTCATCAGCTGCACATCAAATTATCGGATATGCTGATTTTACCACTGTTGTACGCTTTCACCAAGCACTCAAGTTACAGTTACATCCGTGACTGTCCAGACTCATATGAAACCATGACAGCAGACAATGCTTCAAATATGGATGTTGCTGCAAAGACAGACGGCACCCAGCAGCATCGGACATCGACACAATCAGCACAGTTTCAAGATGTACACACAAGATTAGAGTCACCAGTTCAGCGTCTAACCAAATGTCTCCCATTCTGCTCCTGAGATATGATGTAGAATAATGGCCTGAAAAGTGTTTTGGCAGAACATTATGAGGTCACAGTGAAGCTGACCTTTGACCTTTTGGATTTAAAATGTCATCATTTTATTTTAGTAGACACTTATGTGAGATTTTGTCATAATTAGCGTATAAATTCCTGAGTTTTCCAGACTTTTGACCACCAAAATCTAATCAGTTCTGCCTTGAGTCCAAGTGGACGTTTGTGCCAAAATTTAAATTATTTCCCTCCAGGTGTTCTTGAGATAACACGTCCAAGAGGATGGGACAGATGGATGGACAGACAACCCAAAAACAGAATGACTTGGTGGATGGATCCAACAACATCTGACTTTCACCCTGGAGGCTGGTGTTTGCTTCAGGTAAGATTGTTAAGCCAAACCTTTTTTTTTTCTTAAACCCAACCATGTTTGTGTTGGCTGAAGGTAACCACATGCATTTGTTGTTTGTTGTTTCCTGTGAAAACAGAAGCGTATTTTAAAAGAAAACAATGCATGTAACAGGCTAAAGTTGACACAGTGTCCCAGGACGTCAACAACCAACACACTCAGGGTACCTTTCTCACGGAAAGTCCATGACCAAATGTCGATATGTGACGAGGTCGAGAGACAAGAGAGAGAATGTTTTGCCGTTAAAGTAAATGTCTTTGTGTTTTTCTATAAATGTCTAGTGGCTACTTGTCAGCAGTGTTACAAACTGCCGCCAACACGTGTGTGTCATATGTCTCTCACTGTCCCTGTCTGACACCGACGTCCACTGACAAAGTGGCGGTATTTGGCGACTTTGGTTGTTGCCCGCTGCCTCGAAAACTGACACGCCTGGTGTGAATCATACCGCCGTGAGAGTTGTCTCTGTGCGTCAATCTCTGACATCAAAGTCACAATGGCACAGTGGTAGAGGGTCATGGGAGGATGCGAATGAAGCAATATTACATCAATTGGCCAAAGGGGGGCGCTATAGCAACCGATTGAAATTGCAAACTTAGAATGGGCATATCTCATGCCCCGTATGTAGTAGAGACATGAAACTTTGCACAGAGATGCCTCTCCTCATGAGGAACACATTTGCCTCAAGAACCCATAACTTCCGCTTATATAGATTTTCCGCCATTTTGAATTTTTTGGAAAACACTTCAAATCACTTCCTAGGAAGTTTGAGCGATCAGCATGAAACTGGGTGAACATAATCTAGGGACCAATATCTAAAGTTCCCTCTTGGCAAAAGTTGGAAAACTTACTAAAACTGAGCTTCTATAAGGCAATGAATATTGCGGAGGGCGTGGCTCATCACATAAAGGTGTATAACATCTCAAGGGTTTCACCCATCACCACGCAACTTTGTAGGCATATGACCACACATAATCTGAGGGGACCCCTCCATTATTGACCCCATCAAACAAAATGGGGGCGCTAGAGAGCTCATTTCTTATCTAGGCCTAACCGCCATATGGATTTTTACTAAACTTGGTAGATATGTAGAACAGGACGCCTCAAGGTGACTGGAGAAATTTAACTCTAATTGGCAACTGGGTGGCGCTATAACAACAGAAAAATGCTTCAAAATGGCTAAAATGCGACCGATCGCTGTGGCTCCCCCTGTGGACCAATGTTTTTACCTCTACTAATGTACAGTTTTAGCCCACTAACTATCCCACTACTGGCAATGGTACTACTGTACTTTCAATAAAGCAATCATACTATCAAATTCACAAACACTCTGTCTGAATACATTGCTCTTCTTAATGGGTTCAGTTGACTATTTAATCTGCAATTTCCTATGACCTGTATCCCAAACACACACCATGTGAAACTGTACGTGGGCAACTGTGCACTCAATGGGTATGGACTAGTTTAACAATATTTTTAAAATCAAAAATTCTAGGCGTTAACAAATGTATTGAACATGTCTGTTAGATGTGAGAGACACACACACTATGATAAGGAAAAGCAAACATTAACAATGGCCCTGTTCTATTCAAGTGTCCCTGTAAACCATGACAGTGAGACAGTGAGCCTGCAGGCACAATGACAAGCCCCTGAATCTGAAGCAGCTAAATGGAATTCAGCCATTCATTCTAAATAATGTTCTCAGTGAGAAAAAGCCAACACAATGCAAACAAAACTCCATAGCCGACTCTCTCTTCACTTATCATCTCCTTTGTTTGCGCTGACAGTCAGTTGCTCACCTGCTCACACTTCGAGTCACTTGGTCACTCGCACGCTTGCAAATGCACTGTGTCAGCAGTGCAACACACACACACACACACCAGTGTCCTCACACACACGGAGACACACACAGGTCGGGGCGGGGCCGCCTCAGGGTGCTGCTGTAAGTGTGTGATTAGAGGAGAAAGTAGGCAGAGGAGAAACCAGGACACACACTCACCCCTGTTAAGGTCTTTATGTTATGCAGTGCATTCTGGGCTTCAAGGGCAGCTTTCCTTGTGTAAAACGTGACAAAACAGCAGCCTGGGGAGAGAAAGAAGCAGAGAGAGGGGGGATGAGCATAAGGAGCAACAAAGAGCATTTTCTCTATTCATCTGCTTGGCATCACCTGTCGACACTGGCAGACGCTGAGTGAATGCTAAGGACCAAACATCCGAGCATAGAGGGAAAGAATGCTTTTGGATTTGTTTCAGCGCTGATGACTTGAGCCTCGAGGAAGTGAGCGCGCACATAGCGACGCACACACACACACACACACACACACACACACACACACATAAAGACAAAGGTGGTGAAGAGAGACGCTGCCTCTTCATTAATCCTTGAGTAATCTGCGAACAGTTGCTTTACTCACTCATTCACTAAAGAATTTATTCACTGCTCACGTTCCCTCACTCATTCACTCACCACTTCACACCCACGAGGGTTATCCAGTCTGTCACTAAATCAAAGACCAGCTTCTGAGTAACTCCCACTGATTTAGTGCTTTGCAGTTGAAAAGACATCTGGACGTTCAGGTTCAAACCCGACAACACTGGCTGAAGAGTGAGACGTCTCGGCAACATAAGAGCAGTGTTTCAACAGCTTTTTAAATGACTGTGTTTCAGTGTGTGGTCGAGCTGTGAGCACCTGCTCCACACTGAACCAACCTAAGCGCCAGAATAAACGTTTCTGCAAACCACGGATACGTTACATTTGTTGTTATGGAGCAGAAACTTGGGAACTTTACATTTTAACAACACTGTGGGTACTGTGTGGTTTTATCTCGGCACATAAACCTCTCGGTTATGGTGAGGAAAACATCATGTTTTGGCTAGAAATACCTGGTTTTGGTGATGCAATCTCAGCAGGAAAGGCAGCAATGTCTTATTAAAAACAGATTTTCACGGCACTGTCACAGCGGGAAATGTCTGGTTGTCTGAAATGCATGGTGATGCCTCAGTAAAATACAGCCGCTTTTCGTGGCCATCTCCTGACAGGACATGCAGTGATGTCTCTGTGAAAAACAACCATTTTTGTGGCACTTTTCTGGCAGGAAACGCAACGATGTCCCAGAAGGGAAACACTTGCCTCAATGGCATTACGCTGGCAGGAAAGCAGCAATGTTTAGGTAAAGATTTATGGCACTATCTTGGCAGGAAATGGGACAATGTCTTGGTTAAAAACATTCGCTTTAAGGGACTATCCTGACAGGAAATTTAGTGATGTCTCACAAAAAAACTACTGCACTCCGTGGCAGTAACCCGGCAGAAAATGTGGCAATGTCTCAGTAAAAAACAACTGCTTTTTGTGGCACTATCTCGCCAGGAAATGCAGCAATGCCTCTGCAAAAACAACCATTTTTATGACACTATTTTGGCAGGAAATGCAATGACATCTTAGTAAAAACAAACCAAAAACAGCTCTTGGTGGCACTATCCTGGAAGAAAATGAAGTGTTATCTTGGTCAAAAAATACCACTTTTTGTGGTACTATCTTGGCAGGAAATGGGACAATGTCTCAATAAAAAAACAACCGTGTTTTGTGGCACTATCCTGGCAGGAATTGAGCGATGTCTCAGTAAAAAACAACCACTTTTTGTGGCACTATTTCGGCTGGAAATGCAACAATGCCATAATTAAAAAATCAATAAATAAAATAAAATAAAAGTCTTTAGACTGCACTATATTGGCAGGAAACACAGCAATTTATCAGTAAAAAATGCACTTTTTGTGGCACTACCCTAACAGGAAATGGGTCTTGGTAAAAAGCATTTGCTTTTCATGGCACTATCCCAACAGGAAACGGAGCAATGTCTTGGTAAAAAATTACCACTTTTCATGGCTCAGTCTCAGCAAAAACTACTCTTTGTGGCACCGTTTCGGCTGGAAACACAGCAACAGGTTGCTAAAAACACCCATGTTTAATGGCTAAAAAGTTGCTTGCAATAACTTGTCGGTGAAGATTCTCAGTCATCCAGGTCATGGTAATCGTAAGTGCTATATCGCAGGCAACTGGACTTGCTTGCGTTTCTTGAAGAAGCATCCAAGAAGCTTCTTCAGTTCTACTTCGTACCAGTCATTTAGAACTGAAGAAGCTTCTTAGATGAGAGGCGAAATGTCTTCAAGAAACGCAAGGAAGTCCAGTTGCCTACGATATAGCATTTACGAGACTCAGCAGGCATCTCGCCTAGGAGTCACGCCATCCACCTCCCCAGGACAAAGTCAGCTCATATAGTATGAGGAAATCTTGAAATGATACATATGAGAAAAGTAAAGTATCTGTGGTTTGCAGAAACGTGCAATGCCAACATTTTCTCCTGGAGACAGCTGTTGAAATCATCTTTTAAACGTTTTATTGCTGCTGAAACAACAGTTACAGATGGCGTTACCCCAGAAATTAAATCCTGGCTACATGTCCATTTCTTTAGTGCTTTAAAAATGTCTGTTGTGCTCATTGACGGCTTTTCCCCTGATTGGTTAGAGCAAAAAAAACTCTGCTTTTAAAACATAAAATGAGTTACATGAACATCATGTGAGAAAATGAACTGGTAATTCACTCTGATTATCAGGCTACTGAAAAACTATTTTTCCCTCCAAATTTAGCCCCGGATTAACCTCGCCCTGCACCAAGTTGCTTACTCACGCAATCACCCAGTCACACACACAGTACTGTACGTGCACTCAGATGCACGGACATACACAAACACAGAGAAGAAAGTAGAAAGGGAAGGACGGAGAGAGCATTTTTTGCCTCTTCGTTAATCTGTGTGTAATCCCTGCAGAGTGGGGCTGAATCACCGCAGTTGTGGGTCATTCTCAGTCAGCACGCAAACCTGCACAGTCAGGCGAAAACCAGCAGGAGGATATTTAGGCCAGACACAGAGGTGGGACTCTTTTATTCTCCTCATATACACAGCAGCTGCTATTTCATTACTGTCAAACACAGGAGAAGTCACAGTACGGACTCATGACACTTTTGACATTATTACCGTACAGCCACAGGGAAATCTAAAAACAAGACTGAAGAGGAGGGACGGATAGAGACTCTGTGAGCCAGCCATGAAATATGGAGGGTGCACTGTTGAATTAGTCAACCAGAGGAACAAACAGGAGGCCCTGAGATTCGTGATGCATCATCAGGAGCAATGGAAACCTGTGTTTTAAGTGATGGCGTGACCTTAAGCGCAGCATCGATCTTGGACTGTACAGCTGCTTGTTTGCTCCCTCAAGTTGTCATTCTGCAGAGGCCCAACATGTTACCACAAAGAGCCCATTTACACCTGGTACTAACATGTGTTTGAGTGATCCAGACACATCTCTGTTCACCCCTGGGCCTCTCATGCATCTCCAGCTGACCACTTGTGTTCAGATTTCGTCACTGCCTCACGCAAGTTATTATGTCGTCCACACAGTCAGCGGAGTTCAACCCGTCTCCTTCCGTGGGGCAAAGTGAGGGATGGTCACACAACACGTCATCCATCTCGACATAAAGTGGGCAAGATATAGAGCTTTTAGCGCACTGGCACCAACACCACCGCTACGTCCTGGACTGACGACGTAGTCCTTATAGGAGACGCATTGGTGTTTACCCTGCAAGAGATATGTGGTCAAAGGTGTCCCACACCACCTCGGAAAGTGGTTTGAGAGATTGGATCACACTGCATCTTTTTAACGCTGGAGAGGAAGAGACCTCTGTGGATAATTTGGCTCCTGGTAGAAACCATGGACACTGAAGGGAATCAATCTGCAGACTCGCTGCCTGACGCCACTAAATCCCCCTAAATGTTACACACTGCTCATTTAAACTTTGCTGTGGGTGGAAGAAGGCGGTCTGGAACACCAGCAGGAGCAGGGTTAAGAAAATGTCTTGACCATTTACAGGTTGAAGGAAAAACAGGCAACTACAAAACCACAGGCATCGTCTCGGCTTAGCATCTGAGTTTATCTTGCATTGAACACATTCAGTCCTTGTTAACTTGGTTAATACACATTATCCACAGGTGAGCCTGTGCAGCTTTCAGCCTCCAGTTGCTCCAGGTGCACATGTTTGGACCTTCTGCCTCCAGCTTTGCTCATCTGTTCATTTTGTTTTGTATTTATTTGTCCAGAAACGAGCTGAGAGCACCATTGTTTACATCTGCTTTGTTGTCCTCTCCGTTGTGTTCATGGCACAAATCAACCCAGTGTGAACGAGACGGACTGGTGGTGGCTTTGTTGCCCGTATCGCAGACATCGGCCCTGATGACACTTGCCCTGCAGTGCATCTTAGTGAAATCCAACAGTGAGCATCTGGAGCAGATTTGGCATCCGAATCCCAGAGTCCCTTTGATGGGGCTGGGAGCGTAATGGATCTGAGTTCCTGCGGTGTCCTCTGGGTGCCACGGCTGTTGAATAGTTGGCCCTTAGCCTAGCGCCAGCAACGTGATTTGGTGTTGTGATTCAGATGCTGCAGTGCCTGCCTGTGTGTTAGCTTTGATAACTCCCAGCTTAGTGTTTTCTTCTACGACCCCCAGCGTGAAAGGCGGCGCAGGGTGTCACTTCACTAAACCCTGAGCCCCCCACTTCCACTATCAGTGTTAATTTACCACAGAGAGTTTCACACCAGCCTCTACTAGTTAAAGGCGTGGAGATAAGAGGGGAAATTAGTCACGACTGACAGAATATCACCGGGTAAAAAAAAAAATTATACAATTTATTCCATGTAGGTCACCAAACTGTCTTTAACACATAAAACTCAGTTTTAATGTGATGGCTTCCAAACACTGAGGAGCTCCATCATCATGACGAAAACTGGAATCTCTGAGGGTGCTTTCACACCTGCCCTGTTTGGTCCAGTTCAATCGAACTCAAGTTCGTTTGCCCCCTAACTGCGGTTCCTTTGGGCAGGTGTGAACACAGCAATCACACTCAGGTGCGCACCAGAACAACCAGACCGAGCATCTCTACTTCCTGTTTAACAATCAGCTGACACGTCTCGTCATATCCTGCCTGCACTCCATCTAAGAAGGTTTCCATACATAACAAGAGTCATGCTGCCGTGGC